AAAGTTTTTACCAATTTTTGAAGTAGTTTTGTACTTATTATAAGAAGGGTCTAAATGATAATGATTTTTCCACAAATTTTATTTTATATCATGAGACAAAATGTATACGATAATTCTGATATTGTACAATAATCGTTCGTACACCAAAATGCAATAATCTAATGAAAGAAAATATACTTTTATGGGTTATGATCCTCCACAATTCCGGTGATATTTTTAATAAGCTTTCCTTAATGGTTTAAAATAAAATTTGTGAAAAAAGACAAAAAAAAAGCACAAAAATTTATAGAATTGCCAGAATTTTCATTTTCAAGATATTTAAATCAAACTTTCTTCATTAACTACTAAATACGATTCCCAACAAAATTAGGAAAACTTTGGAAAAAAAACTTAGTTTTTTCTAGGAAAGACCTTATTTAATCTTATTTTAAAAGTTTATAAATTTCTCAATATATAAATTTTGTAATCAATATACAAGTTTATAAATTTATAAATTTCTCCTATTGGTTTCGAACTAAAAGAAAGTTTCAAGTGGTTTTGACATTATGTATCTTTAGAAATCTCGTCTTTAAGCAGCAAATTAACCCTTTTGTTTTCAAAATTAATTTTAAAAAATCAAAAATGCTCTAAACTTTCTGTCGCATTACATACTGTCTATTTTAAACTTAAGCAAATATTTTATTAATAGTCAATATTATTTTCTATTTTTTCATTAATTTTTTAATTTGAGACTAACAACGCATTAAAATTTTTTAATTAAAGTTATATAGCTAGTTGAGAATTGCGAAATGAAATTGAGGGATTATAAAATGGCGTCCGCGAACGAAAACTGAACAACTTAATAGTTCCATAGGTGATGTTCAACTTCAAATAATCGTGTGTTGTCAGCTATTAATGCTAAACATAAAGTCACATTACACTGACTGACAAGTTCCGATTAGATCCCAAAGCTATACGGAATAATATACGTGGGATTTAGAAGTCCGGTCGATGATTAAAGATTTAAAAAAATGAGCAGATAATTGAAATAAATTTAACAACTTAATAGTTCCATAGGTGATGTTCAACTTCAAATAATCGTGTGCTGTCAGCTATTAATGCTAAACAGAAAGTCACATTACACTGACTGACAAGTTCTGATTGGATCCCAAAGCTATCCGGAATAATATTCATTAGATTTAGAAGTCGGTGGATGAAGGTTTAAAAAAAAATAAGCAGATAATTGAAATGAAAATAACACATCTATAAAACAAGTACAAACAGTTTTATAGATTTTGCCACTAGGAAGCTTGGCGACAAAAAATGTAATCTTTATCTTCGAACGTTAATGTACAAATTTTAATAATAGGCTAATATTAAAAGTAAGACAATTTGCTCAAATTCATTAAAATGTCACTTAAAACGTTCATTCACCCAGTTCTTAATGATGTTTAACTATTGCGTTAGCGTATTTTTGGCAATTTTGGACCCCCTACCTTTTTGTCAGCAAATTTAAGCAAATTACATAATCCGTCTTATGCTCGCAAGGAAGTCATTATAAAACTACCTTAATCTTTGCTGTAACTTTAACTTTCACAGTATACTCAGTAGAAAAGAATATGGCAAATTGTACCTTGTTTCTGGTTCTATTAGAACACCAAAAAGGTCGTAATTTTTGTCAGAGCAATTTGGTATGATTTTAGCAAAATTAGCAATGAAATATGTTTCTAATAATATGCGATGAAATTTGGTAAATGTGCTAAAATTTGTCTTAGAGCATGGCCACATGCATGCCCTATGCACTTTTCAACAGACCTTTGCACTTTCAATTTCTAGCAGGCAATTTCTGAGCAGGCTCTTCACAGCTGCTCTTACGATTTCCTAATATGAAAGAGACACAGAAAATTATCAAGATCTACTGTTATTCCCAGATATATCAGCTAAAATTTAATTGGTATTTATGAATCAGAATTGATTAATGTTAGGAACAAAACAAAGTTTAGAAAAGAAAGTTTGCTTGGCTGGAAACAAATGTTGAATATCCTGTCACAACTTCTTTTTTAATCAATACCTCTGGGGGTACTCGATTGGAGATCGATTGTTCTCTGATTCAGGTCGAAATTACCATCTGTGGATGAATGGATGTATGAATGGGTCCACCTTATAAACAGGTGTGACGTATGATGTGGCAGAAGTTGAATTCTAGGCCATAGATGGCGCCACTGAAAAGCAAGAATCGCACACTCTGCCTTAAATTTACTCGGCTTCACCAAGCAGGCTTGCCCGTGTGGCAAGTGGCATTGAAATCAACCAACTTCTTTATTCAACGGAATAAATTGTACAACGTACAATGCGCAAAAAAAAAAAAAAAATGAAACACCCTTAGTAATAACTTTTGATTTTATGATTGGATTTTCACGCATTAGGTCCCAAATTCAATGTTTAACAGGGGAACTTCAAATATACTAATAGGCACAGATGTTATTATACGTTTCGAAATCAGACACAAAACGTATTTTCTCTGAATAGACATACCTTTTTTTAGAAGAATTTGGATTTCTCACCCTCCAAATGTGGGAGGGGTTAGCCGAAGAGTAATATGGGTAAAATATAAGGGTCCCAATCGTGTGAAATTATCTTTAGATAAATGAATTTTGGAATTTAGGATAGAAATTCTTTTATTTACTTAAAAAGTTCTCTAGATGTAGAGAAGTGCGCAAAAAGTAAAATTTAACATCGAAGTAAGTAAAATTTAATCGAACTATTAATTTAATTAATTGATTTAATTTAGACAAGTAAAATTTAATCAAAGGGCAGGACTACTTCCCTGAGCAAATTATTGGCATCCTATATCTCAGATTGCGAGTACCCCCTGTATTTTGGGGTCATTTATCCGAATTCGTCGAAAAAAAGGTATATTTATTCAGAGAAAGTAAGTTATAATGTAAATAAATATCGTTTGCAATCATGTAAAAATATCGTCTGCGCTAACTAATTAGCATAATTGAGGATTACTAAATGGCATATCATATCATAATGTTATATATATTGCTACCTAATTAGCATATCTAACTAAAATATCTCCTCAAGCCATTAAGATAGAGTCATAAGTATTTGAAAGTCTGATTATAAGAATAAAAGTTGATCAGGATGCTTAGTTGTATTTTTTAGCACTGTACTGTATTGGCGTTTCCGTTAAGTAAATGTTAAGACAATTTGTGTTTGAATTTTTTTTACGTCCAATAATATGCATTAAAATAAACGAAATTACGCTTACACATTAAGCAGTTGTTACTTTACACCATTATTTATTTATTTATTTAATTATTTTAAAAATTTTCCAATTTTTCATATCCAAAATTATGAATTGAAAAACTACTCTATTGCGTTCTTATCATTCTGCATTCTGATAAGAGTCTTCTCCTCTATTTATTTAGTGGGAAAATCATTCCTCTGGAGTTGATTAGATACGTTAACAAAGTTATCTGCAACGAAAGAACATTTAGACAAATAATTTTTGTTTAAATTTCTAAATTATTATTTATTTTTGTGCATGTAAAACTGTAAAAGGTTTCTCAATCTAAATGAAGCGCGAGTTAATTAATATAAAACATGAGTGCAACTACGTTAAGAGGTTTTTATCATCGTATTCAACAGCACAATATCTTTTAAAAAGGGTATGAAAATTAGGGATTGCTTTATTAGACTGGGGGAAATAGCTCTAGATAATTTTTTGAACTTATGTCGATTCTTCCTCAAAACTTTAAAGCAATAAAGTTATGCAATTTGTGGTTTTGAGTTAGTAATTTACACCTATACCTTTATCAGCTTTTAAAATTATTAAATTTAAATTTAATACAGTTTAAACTGATGAAAATTAACTGATGAAGATGGTAAAAATTTCTTTAAATGTAATTACTGAGCCAGGATAACCTGGTTGGTAGGGCGTTGAGCCCATGTCCATGAAGTCATGAGTTCGGTCCTAGCCGGCCGACGACTTCCGTGCAGTAAACGATGACTGGTGCACGTTAAACATATTGAGTCCCAAAGTCCTCCATGTTCCTATAACAAAGGTACTCTCCATCAGGGGGTACTGAAATTGTGATTAATCATTCTCTGGTTCAGGTCAAAAGTAATGAGTGAATTATTAAATTTACTGTGGGTGAATGAGTGAATTCATGAATAGGTTCACCCTAAACCGGTGACACGGGTTCGAATCCCAGCGATGGCTGGTCTATACGAATTCCAAACACTGCTCTCACCGACCACAGTGATGGCGCAAAATATCATGGCCCGATCATGGGTTAGAATCCCTTTGCCGTTCTGTAAACCGAGTGATATTTTCGTAGTTTTCCTCACCTCGTAACGCAAATTCTGGTTAGTTCCATCAAAATGTCCTCCACGAAGGCTAGTTTGTCCCAATCCTTGATATCTGAGTTCCCTTGTCTTCTCGATTGGGTACAAGGCTTTGGAGCTGAATATTGATAGTCAGAATTTTGTCGGCAATTCAGTGCCGGGTATAAAATAAAATAAAACATAAATTTAAAAATTCGAACAATGCATTGAAAATTACACTACTTCTCCTTGTTCTGTTCTGGGATAAATTCGTTTCAATCATGGCTTTGCATTCATTTTAAATATTCAAATATGAATTGGGTCGATTGTTCCAAAGCCGGTTAAAATATAAAATAAAATCAAACTAGTTTTGATGCTTTCCTTTCACCTTCCTCCTTAGTGATTCTACTGATTCCGATAGCCTTTTCGTTTCTTCCTCACAAAAATAATAATTTGTGACCTTTGTACTCTCGATAAGAGTTTTAAGAATGTTATTTAAGTGCAATTATTACAGAACATTTTGTATGTTCACGCACCTGCATGAAAGATTTTTTTCGTCTCTATCGCAAATTTCAACAAAAAAATAAATAAATGAAAGCATTGGACTGCTTTTGAAAACAAATTGAACTATGAACTGAATTCTTTTTTAAATTTTCTCCCAAAGACATAAAAAATTTAGCACTATATTATCATTAATGGAATTTAATTATACAGAATTTATATCAGGAAATAATGAGAATAATCCACAAATATAAATAATGTATTTTTACATTTACATACTAAACAATATACACGTATATTTTATATCCAGATCTTGTAAATAAGTTAGTTAATACATAATATTTCTTAAATCGAAATACAATGTAGAGTTAAGTTAAATGAATGAATATCACGGAGTCTTCTCAGCTTCTGGATTCGTTCTATAAGAAAAAGAAAAAACAAAACAAAATTAATTACATGTCTAAATCAGATTATTCAGGTTATCCCTCCCTCTCCCTCTTATTGTATCGAAGTGCAAACGACTTTTTTCGACCACAAATTAATTTCCAAACGATACACAACTTAAATTTTTTTATTGGAATGTTGTTAACACTATATATTGTTCTTCGGTATACAGTACGAAGAATTTTGCAGAAATTTTGATTAAGTTTCGATAGGCTTCAGAAACAACTCATAAACATTGCGTATCAGATGCTATAGCATAGTTCAGTTATGATGCCATGTTTTTGTTTCAAAGAAAACTTAAATATTATAGATAAAGCCTACAAACACTATTAAATGGGAAAATATGAGAGAATTTTTATTCGCCAATGAAATCAGTACATTGAATTGATTACAGCAAACGAGATTTTCAGTGTTTATGATGAAAACTCAAATTCAGACTGTTTTTGCCGTTTTTATAAGTTTTAAAAAGGTTACATTTATATTCAACATTTTGATAATTTATAATTTGTTAATTATTATTATTAATGCATTTAATTGCTTTTATCAAAACTTTTTTATGACTTCAACTATTTTCTGTTCTTAAAATTTTTGTAATTTATGTGATAATCTTCTTCAATTAGTACTTTTCCAAACTCATCGATGTATTAAACTATGATTAGACAAAAAAAAAATATCATTAAAGAACTTTGTTTCGAAATCAGTTATAAACTTACAAAAAATGTGAAAAGACTGGAAAAGCTTTACCGGTACCTTGCTTAATACTTAAACCTAACTATCATTTACTAATATCAATCTACCCTAGGTGTTTAAAAATTTCATATTCTAATTTTCGCATTCATAATTCGAAATCAAAACCATTAATAAACTATTTTTAAGCTCTTAGATATTAATAATTATAATATTTAAACTTATTTTAAAGCGATTTGCAATTTCATTTAAACAAAAAATTGTGTGTTTTTAAATTTCATTTTTATATACTCTTATAGATTCTTTGGAAAATATTTGCATACTACAAAGTAGGTGTAAACAACATTTTTAATAAAATGTTACTATTATTAGTCATCGTGTAAAAAATTTAATTAGTCTGCTAGCGAATTACATTCAACCTACAAATAGCAAGTTTAATGCGCTTAATCAAATTTGATGAAACGATTCTTATGTTAACGCAACTATTATAAAATACGTAACTTAAAAAGTTCCTCTCATTCATTTTTTCATAAATATTTGTTATTTGAATAGCAACAAAATTATCAGCCTCCTTTTACCTTTGTTTAAGATAGTATGTTTTTAAAAAAATACTTTGGTGGAAAAAAAAGCCAATAATTTCTATTAAAAAAGTTATTGACTTGTATTATGATATTATTTAGCTGAAATCCCAAAACTTATAAACTAATCATCTGGAAACAATAATAAAGAAAAATTCAATTTGATGTAAAAATATCCCCTTTGAAAAAAATATGGATTCATTTGAAAAAAATTTTTACCAAGAATTTCATTTGAAAAACTTCGTAAGTAAAAAAAAAAAAATTAAAGTGAAATTTTGTTTTTAGTTTTTAAATGTCAGTAGTTTATATTATGATAAGAGGAAAAAGTGTTTCTAAGTGAATTTTATTTTTATCGGAATAAGGTCAGAAAGTATGACTGACCTTCGTACGGATGAATCATTAACAATAAGTTAGATTCATCACACCGATAAGATCTTGTGCAAAACAACTTTAAAATTTTTTTATTCATTATTCATTATTTTATTTATAAATGTGCGAAAAATAATCAAAATCTAATCATTATTTCAAAAGCACATTAACTAAGAAACTAAAATAAACGCAACTCCTTTCTTTTACATGATATCATTCGAAATGCATTTTTCTACTGTTTAGCAAAAAATAGAATGTGATAATAGGAAAGGAATGTGATAAGAATTTATCGAACAATATAGAATTGAATGGTAAGGATCTTTAGTTGAACTTGAAGGCGTTGAGCCCATGTCCA